GGGGCTCCCAGGTTTCCCTGGAATTTAGTTTTTTGCTTTAATCCCTGGGAGCAGCATCCCCCAGAAATTGTCTGGAGCCATCCCCGCCTCCAACTCCATGGAATCACAGGATCCCAGAGTGCTTTGGGTTGGAAGGGACCTTAAATCCCATCCATTCCCACCCCCTGCCATGGGCAGGGACACCTCCCACTGTCCCAGGTTGTTCCAACCCGGCCTTGGACACTTCCAGGGATCCAGGGGCAGCCACAGCTTCTCTGGGAAATCCATTCCAGCCCCTCCCCACCCTCCCAGCCACGAATTCCTTCCCAATATCCCACCTAACCCTGCCCTGTGCGAAGAACAGGGAATGAAACCTGTCGGGCACACCTGGAAAAGCCCCTCTGGGATGGGAGACGGGAGCGTCTCAGGTGCTTTGGGGGCAGATTCCCTGGATTCTGAGTGGAGAGAGAGCCTCCCACAAATTATCCCTGCCCTGTGTTTTTCCCCAGGATGCCTTGGATTTTGTGAAAGGAGTTTTTCAGGGATGCCCAGGGAACCCAGCAGGGATTCCTTTAACACGATTCCACGATGCCGTGGGTGGCTTTGGGCAGTTTAATTCTCTTTTCTCCCCCGTTGCTTCTTCCCGTGGACATTTTGTTTTGTTTCCTTTATCCTCGCAAGTGTCTTTTCCAGCTGCTTTTGTTCTCTGCATCCCTGATTTTTTTGGGGGGAAAATCGGTGTCCAAAGGGGCTGTTTGTGCTCTTCCCAAGGCGAGGGAGGTGTGTCGGACGGGCCTGCGGGTCAACAGCAGCTCCATCTCCACGCTTGGAGACCCGGCCAAAGGTGAGAATTCCATGGGGACAACCCAGAGCCCCGTTCCCTGCTCCGGGAATACCGGCTCCTTGGAAAAGCAGAGGCAGAACCTCTGCCGAGATCCGTGGAAAATCCCGTTTCTTACACGAGAGGCTGAATTTATTGGATCGAGCAGCAGTTTTCCCTCTGCCCCCTCAGCCGAGGGTGGGATCTTCCCTAGGGAATGTTGCCATTCCAGGCTTTTCTCGCCCTGAAAAAGAAGTCACCAAAGTGGCTGATTTCTCTGGGAAAAGACCTTAATCCTGGTGGGAATATCATCCTGGGACAAATATGATATATTTTTATATATATGTGTTATTAATATTATATATTATATATTTTTTATATATTATATATTATATATTTTATGTATATTATATATTCTATATGTATTATATTTTATATTCATTATATATTATATATTTTATATATTTTATATATATTACATATTTCTATATATAACATGTATTATATATATTATATATTTTATATATTTTATATTTTATATATATTATATATTTTATATTTTATATATTATATATTTTATATATCATATATTTTATATATTATATATTTTATATATGTTATATATGAAATATATAATATGTATTTTACATATGATATATTTTATATATATGATATATTTTATATATAACATATAAAATATATAATGTGTAATTCATATTTTATATATAATATATTCTGTATAATATTTATTTTATACTATATATTCCATATATATTATATATTTTATATATAATATGTATTTTATATATAATATGTATTTTATATATTATATATTTTATATATAATATATATTTTATATATTATATATTTTATATACATTATATATTTTATATATAATATGTATTATATGCATTATATATTTTATTTATATTATGAATTTTATATATATCTTATATATATTATATATGGTGTCTATTTTCCCAGTCCCTGTTTACTTTCCCTACACTTCTTCTCCACAAACATAAATCAGGAATGAAGAGCCGAGGGAAAAAAAAAAACAAACAAAAAAAAACCAAACAAAAAAGGAAAATAGAAAGATCTTGTTCCCTTTTTGTGGCTCTGCAGAGATTCCCATTCCCAGGAGGATTCTTCCCAGAGGTGTTTGGTTTTTTTGGATGATTCACGTTATCCTGCCCTGCTCTCTTGTTTTCCCAGGGGTTTATATTTCCAAGCATGCAGACTGCCTCCATCCCAGCCCCTGGCACCATGGAAAATTGGGATATATTGTCATTTGCAAGCTAATTAAGGTAAAATCCAAGGGTTTTGGTGGGTTTTTTTGTGTGTGGAGTGGTTTTTAGAGGCCACTAAAGAGCACGAGTGGGTTTTAAAAAGACTTGTGGTGCTCACAATTGGGGGAGGGGGTGAAATCAGATCCCACAGAGTCACAGATTCCCTGGATTCTCCTGCATTTTGGGGGGTTGAGGGGGAATCCTTAAGGTTGGTCAGACCAGAGCTCCATTTTATTCCTCCATGGAGCTGGTGTGTGACCCCCTTCTCCAGTGATTCCTGGCTCCAAACCCACCCTGTTCCATTTTCCAGTGATTCCTGGCTCCAAACCCACCCTGTTCCATTTTCC